AATTTGGAAAGGATGAGGCACAGTTTGTGCTTTTTGGATTTACTGTATAAGTTGCGCATAGATGAAAACTTATGCCAGTCGGTCTTTTTTCAAGTCTCTCTTTGACAGTTTCAAGTCAATAATTTTTGCTGCTGAGACATTTTGTAATAACATTTACATCATTATGTCAAAAGTTTTCTTTCAGAATTGTGGCTCAAAAGATTTTCTCTAAAATTCAGTTGTAATGTTTCAGTGAAAAGGGCTATTCATATTCTTTATTCCAAGCAACTGCTGAGAAGTTTGCTTTATTGCAGAGCATTACTTGGCTTATTTTTGGTTTACACAGCCCATTTACAAATTTACTCATGAGCCATAAATTAAGACTGTGGTTTAGATTTCTAAGCACGGGTAATTGCTGGTTAACAGATGTCAACCTGTCTGTGTACCTATTAAATTACATTTTATTCCTTGCTGTACTTTGTTGAGAGTAGGTTCTCACTTCTAACAAAACCCCATCACATTTTCTTTTGTAGTGAAACAGAACTCTGTATTTTTATGTGGTTATTTGGTCCCTAGTGAAATATAAATAGCATCATTATTACATAATAAAACAAACCAGAGGAACAAATTCACATACATTTAAATAAACTGCTCAAAATATGTACTCTGTCCTCATCCTAAAAACAACTTAGTGTAACTCACTAGATGTCAACACCAGGTTTCCTGGTTGGGACTGGAAACATGAGCAAGTGTATGCCTTACATGAGGTTCTGTCTGGGACAGTACAGTCACTACAACATGTAGCTGACAATATTTATTCCACAGTGAAAACTGTTTCACATTTATTGACTTTAGAAAGTAACAGGAGAGCTTGGCTATATAATCAAACACAAATGCAAGTGTGAGACTCAAAGTTAGATTTTCTATAAAGAGTTTAGAGTATCAGATGTCCTCATTTAATATTTTGGTCTCTGCGGTTTTAGGCAACCGTGTGTGTGTGTGTGTGTGTGTGTGTGTGTAGAAGAGTGAATGTGTGTATCAAACACATGCTCAAACACATTTTTTTCCTTCCTTCTTTCTTCCCTGAGCCTAAATGAAATTACATTATAAAAGAAATGAATGAATGAAAGAACAGTGTAAACCCCATAACCAAGTCTGAAAAAAAAGGTGAAATTCCTGGATGATAAATCTATTTGTTCATCAATCAAAAAATAATTATTGCCAGTTATTCTTTGATAACTGATTGTTTAAGTAAGTTTCATGTAAAATGCCAGCTGTTCCAGCTTCTTATTTGTAAGGATTTTAGGGTAACGTACAGACTAAAGGCAGATTTGATGCAGGCAAAAACAGATTTGGAAAATGAACGGGTCCAGTGGAATCAGGAGGAGTCCCTCCTCCTCACTGAACACATGGATGAAACCTCCAGTTTAAAGGCAACACTGACTCAGGACTTGGAGAACAAAAGATGTCAGTGGGAGAGTGAGAAGTCTTGTCTTCTAGCCGAGCACACAGAGGCAACCTCTAGCTTGAAGGTAGATTTGATCCAGGCCAAAATAGCCCTGGACAATGAACAACTCCAGTGGAATCAGGAGAAGCCCTGCCTCCTTAGTAAGCACACAGAGGCAACCTCCAATCTGAACGCAGCATTTCTACAAGCACAGGAAAACCTGGACAATGAAAGACTCCAGTGGAATCAGGAAAAGTGCAGCCTCCTGGAGTCTATCAGGACCCTTAACCAGGCTTTGTACCCGAAGAAAGAAAGACTGCACTCTATGGATGTACTTGTGGAAAAACTAAAAACTTTGGAAAGTCAAATGGAGGAGGTTCAGAAAAACACAAAGAAAAAAGAAATCCATGAAGAAAAGATTCCTCAACATCTTTAGGCCATGTTGCAGCAGCCCCACCTTGTGATCTCCAAAGTCTTCTGCCAATCTCAATCAATCTGGACAGATAACACCATCAGCTCTATCAAGAAAATTATCAAATGTGATGTCAGCTACATCCCAATAATTTCTGAAAATGTTTACTGTAAAGGGCCATGTAGTTTGGTAGCATTTACAGAAAATCAGAGACGGAAGGTACAGTAACCAAAATCAGATTTGAGAAAGCCAAAAAAATGCAACCTAACCCTAACCCCTTCCCCAATCCTCGAATGCTCTAAACCTACCGTTCTCAAATCTGATACTGTGCCTACAAATCTGTGTCTGGGCGCTGTCAAATGCCATAGTTCTTTCTGGAAAACATAGTCGACTTGAGGGATTTACTGCAGCTGGTTGACATCTCTGTTCATGAGTCAGCCATATGCAAAATATTGAACAGGCAGTGAATTCGTGACAGGACACCATGGAGAGGGGTGGATAGATTTTTCATCTGCAAACAAAGAGTTTCACAGACCTAACATTTCTACTACTGTCACTATTTTGGGTCATGACTAAAACTTTAACACCAGAGCTGGTGCTCAAATAAATTAGTAGATTCATATTTACATGTATTAATGAAAATAATGAGAAATGAGCAGAAATTTAATTTGTATTTTATTTTTACATTTTCAACAGCTATTTATCAATCAGAACATTTACAGTGATGATTTATATCTTGCTCAAACACTTGAAGTGGGAGAAAACCGGAGCACCCGGAGTAAAAACCCACAAAGCAAGGAGGAGGATGAGACACCGCCCACCCCCAAATATTTTTTTTTTTAGATGAATTACTTCTGGAAGGGCTTGCAGATGAACTTGCGGACATTGGAAAAGAACCTGCAAATTTTGCTGCCTTTCACTGGTTGGTTAATTATGTGCTTGTTGAGAGTGGAGAGGACGTAAATTTCAAATACTGAATCAGTCATATGCAGTCGAAACGCAATGTCAACCTTGCTGAAATCTTTGCACAGGTCCTTGTAGACTTTTTTGTCTAGGCGTTGGAATGTTTTTGCATTATAGACAATCTCTTTGTACTCCAGGAGAGCCCATAGTTTATCAAACAGTCGATCGACGCGGAGTTCTGTTTGATCCATAGTGGTCTTGACACCAGCTTTTTTAAGAATCCTTGAAAACAGATTATTAACAACTGTATACACGCATTCCTTTAATTGTGTCTTTTCCTCTTCATCAGTGACTCTTTTTGTTTCCTCGTTAACATCTCTGTTCATGAGTCAACCATATGCAAAATGTTGAACAGGCAGGGTATTCATGACAGGACACCATAGAGGAATCCACTGCTCTCCAAAAACTACATTGCCACATGCCTGAAGTTTACATATTGGAAAAGATAACGCTCCACAACTTAATTCATTCACTTTAAAAAAAGTCCTGTATTTTAATCTATGTCCTGACTAATTCCACTAAAGGATGAGTTTACAAATTTACAAATCAGTCTTTTAGCCTGTCCATCATACAGGTCCACCTTTGATGACAATAAGCACGAGCAAGTGACCATGCTCTTTGGGCATTCATTGTGTGCTAATAATACAATGGCAGCACTCTCCTCAAGTTGAATAATTGCAGCACAAAAACAACAACAGTCTGTTTGGTTTAATATCTTGAAGTTGCCCAGAAAGACATCCTGATAAGCAGCAGCCCCATAAACCGTGGAACAGCTCCTAGCTTAGGCATTTTAAAACTTAAAACAGCCATGGTTATCCATCTCTTGGTTTCTTTTAACAATACACAAAGTTTAAATGACATCTCTGGCCAGAGCCTTGTGTGGCAAGACTGGTAAACGGTCTTTTACTTGCATAGCACTTTTCTATGCATTGCACCATACTTTCACTTTTTGCCCATTCACTCATTTACACTTGTTTGAAATGTCTCTGTGAGCATATTTGTATTTTTCATCAATTTATTTTACTAAACAGTACAATAAACATGTCCCTGGAACTGCATATTTATCATTTCTAGGCTAGTACAAGGCATTAAACAGATGTATAGCTCTTTGCTTATTATTATAAGATTTAAAAGCTCTGCATACAGTCTTTTCTCTAATATGATTCTTCTGTTATGTAGGCTGTGTATCCTTTGAGATCACTTCACACTGAGATTCCTGGCATCAGTTTCTGAACCACTGAAGTAGACATACTATACAATATGCCAGTGTTTTTAAATTTCACTTCAATAGCTTCTGAATAATTTAGGACACCAAATATTTAAAGCCTCAAATGGCCTAGTAAACTGAACTCCTCAACATTAGGCATGTGATGGCTGCATTTTCTTTTTAATTCTACCTTATTGAGCCTTGAATCTAATCATTCAACCAATCAATAAAATTAAGAACTTATGAAAGAGTAAGAATAATTTTACAAATAAGAAAAAGACCCTAATTGTGTAGTCATATAGTTTAGCACCAATTTTTAATGCCATTTTTAACTTCTTACAATGAATTGGAACTAAAGAAAATACTGTGTGACTTTCTGCAGCACATTTATGACACCAGTCATTAATTTTCAATGACCTCTTAGAAGGCAGACAAGCAGCAACATCTCTGTCACAATAAATAACTTGCACAGCTGAAAGAAACAGATCTCTGGAGGGCTCTCCGTGTACTTCAGAGGCACAGAGTTAGGCCAATTTAAATCTCTGGCAAGGCAAAGGGTGGAAGTGAAGTTGTCAGGAGTTGATGTAAAGTCACGGCTAGCTCCTGCAGAGTGGGTGGAGATCGTTTGTGCTCAATGACATTTGCTCAAAATGAGCTATCATTCAATATCTGAACAATGACAAACTCTCCCAACATACCTGTATGCCTTACATGAGGTTCTGTCTGGGACAGTATAGTCACTACAACGTGTATCTGACAATATTTATCCCACAGTGAAAATGACTGTCTCACATTTATTGACTTTAGAAAGTGACAGGTAAATGTTTTCAGCACGATGGTATAGTTTCAGAGTTCCATTTTGCTTTTTTAAGTTTTGGAGGGTCATGTGATCAAATATTAGCTCTTTAATATCAAGGTGCCCAGGAAGAGGAGGGCTTCCCTATATAATCAAACACAGTAACGATTTAAAAATAATGAAATGTCTCTCTTACCTGGCAGAGGATGCTGCGTATGTACTTGCCACAGGTGTTGTAACCTAAATGGTCAAAGTTGTCCATGATGGTGGCAAACTTGAATGCTATTTCCCTGTCCTTCTCCAGATCACAGCATCCAAACTTGGAATACTCCTTGCAGAATCCCAGTGGCTGCCGAGGCTCAAACGGAGGCTTGTAGTCCAAACATTGGGGGTGACAGCTCCCCCGCCAAGCATGGAGGAGCAACAACAGCAAGGGCAGAAGGACACGGTGGAGGGAGTCCTGCTCCAGGATGTGATGGGGTACCAAACTGCAGATGTGTAATGTCATGGTCTAAAGATGCTGTATTTTAGCTCGGGATAGTTTGGCTTTTCACCTAATAATGCAGTAAACCAAAGCAACTTGAGATATTTCAGTATAATGTGTAAGAAACAGGAAGCCGATGTACATGTTACATAACCACCAGCATATGTCAAATGCAAGTGTGAGACCCAACGTTAGATTCTCTATAAGAGTTTAGAGTATCAGATGTCCTCATTTAATATCTTGGTCTCTGCGGTTTCAGGCAACCATGTGTGTCTGTGTAGAAGAGTGAGTGTGTGTATCAAACACACGCTGAGCCAGCATCACACCTGCTTGCAAGTTGGCCAGAGACCTACAAAGCACTCAGGACTGTTCTGGTTCCTCCAGTGAAGTGTGTAAATTAGGTAAGGTAAGATCACACTGATCCAGATCCTGTAAATTATTTTGATGTTGAGGAGACCTGCATTTGGTTGGCCGATCCAGTGTCCCAGTGTCTTGTTGGTGTAGACAGCTTCAGTCAGTTTCTAAAGATCAACACAAATTCTTAAAGGAGATAAGGTTTTCAAATCTTCCAGTTTTTGAAACTTAACATCCATGATGTGATGCGTTCTCAAAAATAAGTATTTTTCTGGAAGCAATCATCAAAACATGTTGCAATCCAGCATTTTAGAAAAAAGGGGGAAACATTCAAAAAGCATTAAAAAGTTAAAGTTGTGTCCTCAGGCGATGTTTCTGCACAGTATTCACTTCCAGCTTGAGAGTCCTGTTGTGTTTGTTCTGGGCATATGGTCACTTGCTGCAGCAGACATAAGCCATACAAACAGACGGAGAGTGGGAGAGAGAGGTTCTTTCATTCAGACACAGAGCCACGCTGCAGCCTTTCTTTAGATCCCTCCCTCTTCACTTCTCTCCTCCTTTTCCTCACTCCTTTGCATTTGCTCTTTCAGTCTCCTACAAAGACACAGGCATTCCTTGCCATAGCATGTGGTCTACACAGCCCTAAAGCTGCAACTTTCCACCTCTCCCCCACATTCAGCATTCCCAGACCTCCTCTCTGTCTCTACCATTTCCAGACAGACTCACTCATGCTTGTGTGTGTTTGTGTATGTGTGTGTGGGCAGATGGATCAGGACGTGTGCTGGAAGCATAGACCAATGGATTCTGCAGGCACAGTTCCAACTCCTACATTAAAGCGTTTCCACCTAATCACATCGCTTTGAGTATTTGTAGCTGTGTTGTCTTCCTCTTGAACCAGCACAGAAACCACTTATAGCATTTTAAATTATAAAATGTAGCTCTACATTGTTTTGTCCTGTTATTGGCATTTAAAATTTGAATATTGTCATTTTCTCTCAACTTATTAAAGCAGCTATAATCGATATTGAAAGGTGCAATGGCCATATCAACTTCAACATGTCAGTGGTCACAGTTTGTTTCCACTGTGGCCAAAAAAAATCTGTTATTGCAGATTTTAAATAGCAAACAGGCAAATGTTATGTGTCAACATTATGACTTTTAATTTCTAAAATGTCATTTTATTGTTCAGGTACTTTGTGATTTGCTTAGACTGAATTGCCAGATTTCTGGAAATTGTACAGCATATGGTGGTGCAGTGGTGGCGCCGTTGCCTCACAGCGAGAAGGTTGTGGGTTCGCGACCTTTGTGTGTGGAGTTTGCATGTTCTCCTTGTGCTGGTGTGGGTTCACTCCGCGTACTCCAGCTTCCTCCCACAGTCCAAAGACATGCGGCTTAGATTGATTGGTGTCTCTAAAGTGTGTGCATGTCTGCGTCTGTGTGTCAGCCCTGTGATAGACTGGCACCCTGTCCAGGGTGTACCCTGCCTCTCGCCTGATGCTGGCTGGGATTGGCTCCTGTATTCATAGCCTCTTTAAAACAGATATTCAAGGAAAAAACTTTTTTTTCCCCAAAATACTAGTGAAATGTCCCCATGTACTGAGTGACTCATGGACTGAAGGATGAGCAGCATTTGTGTGTGCACGTGGCTTGTGTGATTGTGATGTGTGTGTATAGATTAGATATGTTGCTACCATCTGTGTCTCATTATTGTCCACCAGCCTTTCAGATCAGAGAGTTACTCTGGCCTGTCTGCTTGTCTCACAGATGGAAACAATCCAGTTGCTCCCTGGATTAAATAGATCGATTGGCACTTCATCATGTTATTTAACTTCATAATTCACCACAGCTAATAGATTAATGCAGCAAAACTGTTGATGGTTGCTTTGTTGTCCATTTTTCTTTATCCAGCCATTTTATGACTTTACATGGCTGTTTACATCAGAAAACAAAAGTCAGCAAAGTTAGGAAGCCATGAGAAGATCAGCTCTGAACAATGATGAGACTCATCCCATGTAACAGCTAGAAAAGTACTTTAAGCAGCTAGTGTTTGTACTAAAATTGCAAAATGTACTAATCTTTAGAATGACTGAGTCTCTGAGTCATTCTTTACTGGAAAAGACAAACACACACATACACACAACTATGCTATTAAGGCAACCGAGCAGACGCTGACTAGGCCTCTCTTTACTGTTGTACACAATCATTCTGTGAGTAGTTGTTGCTGAAAATCCTGAGGTCTTTTTCTGCCAATGTGTTCACCCCAAACGTACATGGTTACACACACACACACACACACGTACTCAATCAGGCTGACTTCATTTGGCTTCATTATTTTCATAGCTACTGTTAGTTAATCCTGCAAATCAATAAAGATTTAACTCAAGTTAACTTTTTTAGGATGAAAGAAATTCTTTCATTGTTTCTGTGTGTTTGTGCATATATGAGCGTGCTTTGTGTGCTAACATTTTAAAATGATTTATCTCTATCATGTCTGTACAAAGTAAGTACAGTACATAATGGTATAATTGTTGTTTACATAGCCAGCATGGAGTGCTGCTCTGAGAGGGGTGCAAATTGTGATCGCCAGCATGAAAGTTGGATTCACCTCACATCCACCCACCACCTTGACCTCCACACCCTTTTTTCACGTTAAATCTGGAATAACTCACACCACTAGTTTCATTTGGACAGCATGTTGGTGCAGGATAGAAATATTGTGCTGCAGAGATGTATATAATTCCTCTGAGGCTTGGACTAGTCAGACACTGGCAACATGAGCAGCATTGCCACATTATGGTATTGAATTTGGTAGTACAAAAAAATAATACCTAGTGGATCTAAATATGTTGCAGTAAGAGACAATACTAGTGATTTGCTGGTGCACAGCCTTCACCTGCCTCTCAGCATATCGGACTGTGGACAGAGTGACAGAGACCTGCTAAGGTAAAAGTTAAGTGCCAGTTTGCCAAGAAAAACCAAGACTGAGAGAGCCAAGGTTACATCATTGTTTTCCTCTGCCTTTCTCAAACCATATATAGATATCTTTGTGCATGACTGCGTGTGTGTGTGTGTGTGTGTGTGTGTGTGTGTGTGTGTGTATACATGTCGAACCAGTGGCAAGAAAGACATCAGATAGGGTGAAGGACTCTTGTAACAAACTTCCTGTACTTTAAAAATATTGTATTGTAATTTAAAAGTGTATTTTATAAATACATTGAATGTAAATTTGCCCCTGAGAAAAGTCAACATTTCTCCTTCTGACATCAAATGACAAAGAATATCACCTCAAAGTTGTTTCACTGGTGTTTTCCAACAGTGGTGCTGTAAGTTATAATCTGTTTCTTAGTTGTGGTGAGTGGCTTCTGGGTAACATTTTATGTATCTCCCAGATTAGTATGTTGGGTCAGGTTGTCCTGATCTCACAGCTAAAGAGTTCCACATGTCTGATAATTTTACCACAACAGTCTGGTTCTTGGAGCAGTTTGCTTCATCCTCCATTGTTTTACTTGTTGCTTTACTTTATTGGCAAGAAATATCTTCACTGTTTTTGATTACTGTGAATATGAGACTCTCCTTAAGGTCGTCAGGGATAATATTTAACAAAACAAAAAGCGAAACAAAAATAGAAACAGAAATGTGACTTTTGAAAGTCCTGTTACCTTGATGATCCCTTTCAATATTAGACAAAATAGAATTTGTGCTAAACAATATGGGAGATTGTTTTTCTATACTTGTGTGGCCCAAAATCCATGAGTGACTTTGTGGGGACTGAAGGCCAGTTTCTCAAATTTTATGAAGACAATGAGGTGTAAGGTTAGAGCAAGTGTCAGCTTTGGTTAAGTGTTAAGGTTAGTGTTAAGTCTCCTGGAAATGAATGTCAGTCTATGTAGGGACCCGGTAAGGTACAAAAACAAGGACATCTGTCTGTCTGTCTGTCTATCTGTGTGTGTGTGTGTGTGTGTGTGTGTGTGTGTGTGTGTGTGTGTGTGTGTGTGTGCTAGGATAGGCTCCTTTCATCCTAAAGAATGATTCTAAGTTTCAGAAGATGTCCACATACAGAGAGTAAAGTCAGAAAAATGTGTGCCAGCTTGTGCTCTAAAAGTATCATGCTCTGATTAAATACTGCTTAAGCTGAATTCATGCAATACTGCCTGTGTCTTTAAAAGGGCGCAGACAGGGCAGCTTAGAAGTGGGCGGGAATCAAGCAATATTTATAACACCTGGAGCTTGATCCTCACCTTCAGCTAATGTTGCATTAAATGCATGCCTCAACACTACGGAAGCACCACAATCGGTGTGCTGAGAGATACGACAAGGAGAGAACTGTGAAAGCTGAATTAGACAATGAAAAAAAACTGCAAATTGTCCAGGTAAGATTTACGAAACTAGTTAGTTGTTTTGGTTTGAAACTAAATTCTGGTTTAGTCCTCTGGCTCTACCAAGAATGTGGGTGAACTTCACAAGGAATGGACTGAGGCTGGGGTCAAGACATCAAGGGCCACAACACACCGCCATTTCAAGGAATTTTGGCTACAGTAGTCGTATTTCATTTTATTCCTATTCCTCTTGTCAAGCCATTCCTGAACCACAGACAATGTCAGAGGTGTCTTAGCTGGACTAAGGAGAAGAAGAACTGGACTGCTGCCCAGTGGTCCAAAGTCCTCTTTTCAGATGAGAGCAAGTTTTGTATTTCATTTGGAAACAAAGGTCCTAGAGTCTGGAGGAAGGGTAGAGAAGCTCATAGCCAGCCACCTGTTCTGTTCCAAGGCCGTCCTCCCAAGTGGCCTCTCCAGTTCCTCGCCTGGCTCCTCCTGAGAGGCCTTCACAGCTCATTGTCAGATCCTGATGTCGTCCACCTGAACAGCCAACCCAGCTGTCTGTTGGGTCCCAGGGTTGTCCTCCTGAGTGGTCTCGCCCTCCTGCTCAGCTTCAAGGCCGTCCTCCTGAAAGGCCTCCTCTGCTCCTTGCCTGGTGCCTGGGCTGAGTCTGGAATGGTCCTTTCTGTTGCCTGCCCAGTTTCAAGGTCATCCAACAGAACAGCCTTCTTTACTGCCTTCCTGGGTCGGTGGCCATCCTCCTGGTTTGTATCTGGCTTTCTGCCTGGTCCAGAGGTCATCCACCAGAACTGCCTCCTCAGCTTCCTGCAATGTTCCAGAGGTCATTCACCAGAATGGTCTTCTTGACTACCTGCCTGGTCCTGAGGACGTGCGCCTGCTTGGCTCCATTAGTCTCTTGCCTGGTCCACACGAAGTCTGCCCATACAGCTCTGTTAGCCTCCTGTCTGATCCCAAGGGTGTCCACCTGGGTGGCTTCAGTGACCTCCTGCTTGATACAGCAGCCATCCACCAGAACAGCCCTCCCCGGTTTTCTGCCTGGGTCCAAGGCCATTCACCCAAGGGGCTTCTTCGGTTTCCTTTCTGGTTACAAATCATCCGCTAGAGCTGCTTTTTTAAGTTCCTCTTTGGTCTCAGGGTTGACCACCCAATTGGTTCCTTCAGTTTCCTGTGCCATCCTGGGAGTGGTCTCTCCTGCTTCTGTTCTGGACTCTGGTTCTTCCACCTCGAGGTGCCTCCATATCCTGCCTGGTCCTGAGTTTCCTGTCCAGCATGGTTTTCATTCTGCTGGAGTCTGACCTGGCCTTTTTGAGTTTGTTCTTAGGTCCTGACTGTTTTTCTGGCTAC